GTGAATATTTAAAATCTTATTATGTTTGAACATTATTTACTTATTTATGAAAGAAAATACTAAGCTAACTTCGTATGGCAATATATTTCTTCCTTTATTTGTGGTTTTCTGTTTTGACTAGCTATCAAATATACAATTTTCCTCGTAGAATTTTAAATATTATATTTAAAAATTCAATTTGTATAATGCAGCTAATGGAAAAATGAGTTAATTTTAATTACTTTCAAATATAGCGGCGCAAATTTCGTGATATTGACTGGAATCATTGAAGTTTAAATTGTTATAAAAATATTTCCCCATCTACTCAAAATATAAAAAGTGATGAGTCTTAAAAAGTTGCACCTTTCTATTTTTATTAGATTTCCAAATATTACTGTCTTATCAAAATTATATTTTTAATTCATGATACTTCTACATCCCGGTGAATAACACTCGGGAATAATTTTGATATTGAAAAAATCGTATTGTTCCGTCATGTCCCGCTCACGAAATTCGTATTCACCTCCCAATCCCGCTCACGAAATGGTTTTCATCTCCTTATTATTTTTGCGAAACAAAGCTTACGTTCAGTTGGCTCTAAATAGCTTGCTAAAATGATGTTCTTATGCGAGAAACGATATTTTCAAAACGCAATTAAAAAAAAGAGATTGTGAAACGTAAAAAGTATAGATTGTAAGCCTATTGAACTTAGGCAAACTTTAATACATCATCGTGCCCTGACACGGACAGTCAACGTCATAGCAATCTGAGCAATGTAGAATGTACAATCATGATGGACATGCATGCGACGTATTGTTATGTTTGTTGTTGACGTGTTAATGTTTACAACAACATTTTTATATTTCAAAATGTAATAAAGTTATGTTACATTTTGCAGACCAAATAATAGTCTGGTTTTGTTTTATACAAATATCAGAAATAAATTTTTAATTAATGATTTCACGGAGAGAGTCATGCATAGCATGGGATAAAAAGGTTATTTACCTATCGGGATTAAATGTAGGTTTATTCCAAAGGCCCTGATTTTTAGGAGAAATATCATATTGTCACCCATGATACTGAATCCCTCCAAGCAAATAAACTAATATTACACAGTGCTACTATTACTTAAAATCCCTCCCTAAAATCGTTTTTACCTGGTAGTCGGTGTATTGAAATCTTATTCACCCGGTCGTCCCCGTATTGGAATACAGCAATATTCACCTGGTGATTCTCTTACTCCTTCTTTTTCAAATAGTTTATTTAGAATTGTTTTTAAATGTTCATTTTCAAAAGTGTTCAGTTACCTTTTCAAAAGGTTTCTTGTATTTTTCCCGCGATGGAATTATTTTTCTTAGGTTTTTATTTTCTTATATTTTTCGTTTTTCCAAAAACGATTCTTAAAAACTACCGTAAACTCAAATAATAGTAATGAGTTTTATATAAATATTGATATTAATCATCATCGTTATTAATTAAAGATTCATGAAAATATAAATTTGCAGTGTATTATTTTTGAATAGATCATCTTTGACATAGTTCCTGGCAAAGATTCGAATATGGGTTTAATAAAGAGACTGAGGTCTATATTACGATTCGAACATGAAAACTCACCAAAATGTTTCGAATAATCATTTATGGTCCACCTTTACTACGGGCCGCCGTTATGACATCACACATTACTCGTATCACCGGGGGTATTGTTCGCGAATATACTCCGGGAGAAATATTGACTTTGTTCACCGTTTATAGAAGGTGTGAATACAGCCATGTTCGAATTTATATTACTACTTAAGTTTCTTAGGATAAATGACAGCTTTTCGTTTTATATTCTATTCACTTTATACATCACGTCGCAGTCATTTGAAAATACATCTTTACCCTAGAAAAAACAATATGTAACAATGCAGTTGCTGGCTCAATTTGTTTGTATTCATTTTTCATAAATTATGAGATCGCATGTACATAGATAAATTACAAAATACATCTTAAGGTCAAATAGAAAACAATATTATGTAACA